TTACTTTACCTTCTCTCTCTCTCTCTCTCTCTCTCTAAAAGCTTATCTCATCCACTCTCTTTGACCTGGTAATCCATTCTCTCTCACGATGGGTTCTCTGGCAAATCCATTCTCTCTCACGATGGGTTCTCTGGCAGGCATTTTGGATGATGACTTTGTAGAAGAAATCCTACTCAACTTGCATGTCCCTTGTATCTTGGGTCTCAAGAGTGTCTCAAGATCTTGGAATGAACTCTTATCCTGTGCCATCTTCCTCCCATTGTCCCACCACGAAAAATCTCTAATTTTCACCATCTCCCTGAAACATGATAGCATCATGCAACTTCATGACCTCTCCCATAATGAAATATGCTCTTCTTGGATGCCTAGAAATCGGACATGAGGGTGGGATGTAGGACAGGTATGGGTGTCAACCCTACCTGTCAATCCGGGTTTTGGCAGGCCAATCCGCCTGCCTTCTTGCTGTTCCCGGCTCCTCAGCATACTATTTCGGATTGTATTTCGACCCCCAGCATCGCAAATTCAGGGTTTTGACTACACAGTATCGAATGTTGGCATGGAAGCCCATTCCGGAATACTAGCTGTTTGACTCATCGATTGGACAGTGGAGGCGAAAGCATGCCAAAAAAACCTCTAATCTTTGGCATGAAGAATCTCATATCGATTGGCCATACATGCTATCACTATAGAGATCGACATGGTGAGAGAGTGCACAGTCGGAGCTTCAAAGTGGGCCATACTTCTCTTGTGGCTGTAGGGATTGATCTAAAGTTGGGTTTAAAAAATTGAGGACAGAGTGGGAGGAGATAATCAACGTACATCTGCCCGAGTTGGGGTTCGAATATGATAGTGAAAATGTGCTGAAGAAAAGTGAGACCCTCTCCCAGTGCTTGTATGTGGAGGCCACATTTTTATGAGTTATGCATTCAGCAGTGGGAGGCTGCATATGCCTTTTTTCCAAGTGATAGAGATTGTATGGTGAGTATATATGCTAAACCCACCCTGTCTTCTTTGGATTTTTATGGTGGTGGGAGAGGAATGGGGAAATGTGGTAAGAAGAAGGGTCTCTCTCAACCAAGCCTACGGCGGGCAAGAAAAAGAAGACCTCAAAACTCCGTGCAATATAACTCTCCCATGACAACAACATGGTTTGGTGGTCCCCAAGACATCTTGAATGGGGTTGTTGAGTTTGTTGAGAGACTTGTCTTGATTCGGTTGCTTTTTATGTTCCATTAATCTTTGTCTATTACACTTGTAACTATTTTATTAAATACTTTTTTGATGTCTCTTGGGTTGGTTATTAAATACTTTTATGCTCCATTATATTTGCCTAAATGCATGTCTGTATGTTCCATTATATAATGTATGCTCCATTATATTTACCTAAATGCATGTCTGTAATTGATATTTCTCTTTCTCTCTCTCATACCAATTCGCGTTTGACGCTGAACTTCAACAATTAAAACGAGGCTAAAGTTTGTTGGCACACGAGCAAAAAAGGGGTGTTACTGCTCTCTCCTTCCCTCTCTAGAACTTGAGCGCAGTTTGCGGGAACTCGTCAAGGAATTTGTCCTCAGAAGCTGCCAAAAAACGCTCACATCGAGCTGATAATTGCCAGCAATCTCAGGTGTTGGGCATTCTGGATTTTTGTGGGCATTGCCACATCAGGTCTGTTTATATTCTTTATATTTTAAATGGAGTTCTAGATATAATTGTGAGTAGTTCCATGAAATAGTAATTTTGTTGCGTACTTGTAGAAATTCTTAGAAGGTCATTTCCTATAACAATGCTGGTATCCAAAATCATTTTCCTATGTTCTCTTATATTATCCATCAATTCCTATGGCATTTGTTGTTTTCTCAAAAATTGCAATTTCAACATAACTATTTTCAGAAGCTTTAGCAGATGTGTTACCACGAAAATGCTCAAAATGTTTTGCATTCCAAAATTGGAAGCATTCCAATATGCTTACATTCTTTAAATGGAGTTCTAGATATAATTATGAGTAGTTCCATGAAATAGTAAGTGTACTTGTAGAAATTCTTAGACCTATGTAATCTTTTGCCAGGGAAATACATATTTTTTTTTTTAAATAATATCACCCTTTATAATTTTGGCAACAAGATCACTCACAAAAATTAAATAACACATCAATAAAATAAATCTCAACTACTTGATGCCATTCATACAACCTAATACTGTTCTTGAGAATATAAAATAAAAAAACAAACAATTAAAAAAAAAGATGCCGGAGATTACCTCAACCGGGCTTTTTACACCCCACACCGAGTCACAATAGCGCGGGATCAGTGGTCTAGCTTCAATCTCGAACCGAAAAAGCTAATTTCGGCCAAACTAGGTAACCACCCTTAAATCTCGATAAAACCCTAACTCCAAAATAATTAGGCTCAAACCCTAATTTTCCTAACCTTTAGATTTGATCATGAGAGAGAGAGAGAGAAAAAAAAAAAAAAGAGAGTAGAGAGAGAGGGGCATGGCCCCTAGGGAAGAGAGAGAGGGACGTGGCCATAGGGAAGAGAGAGAGAGTAGTTTATGGGAGAGAGAGATGTGTTGAGATGGGGGAGAGCA